GGTGTCATAACAATTTCATAAAAAAACTGAAAATACTATTATACGCGTGTAGGTTATTTGGTCCCATATAAAGATCATGACGCCTTCGTATGGACCGGCATGGCCCATTCTACTCTTCCTCCCTCCGTACAAACAGCCTGGCTTGACTGTATTTGGCTTATAAGTCATGACTTATCAGTCAACGAACAATATTTTTTTCTCACACTAAACTAACCAACAGTATTTTCAGTCATGGTTTATAAGCCAAATCAGTCCAAACAGATAAAAGATCAGCAGCCTGTTCGTTTGGCTGTGGCTGGTCATAAACGATCGTAAATTTTCAGCCAAAACAGTATTTTTCTCTCACACAAACTAGCTAGTAGCTTATCATAAACGATCATAAATTTTCAGCCAAAACAGTATTTTTCCTCGCACAAAACCATCCAACCGAACCGGCTGCAGGATGTTTTCGCTGTGCCGCCGGCCCGCCGCCCTTCCTTCTATTTATTTACCTTTAGCCGCCGCCGGCCGCATCTGATCTGAAAAGTTTCCAGGCTTCTTTGGGCTCGGCCCGGCCCGGTCGCGAATTGCTGTCTACTCTTACCTCCTCCGCCGCCGGCGTACGGTTGCAGACAGAACCGGCACAGCCGCCGAAGATGTCGATCGTTGTGGCGCCGGAGGTCGCGGCCGCTCTCGCGCGCTGCGGCGCGGTCGTCGCCCTCGAGTCCACCATCATCTGCCACGGTCAGCTTGCTCCTGCCTTTTCCATCCGTTTCCCTTTTCATTCGCGTCGCCTCCCTCTTCTGGCTAGCTTGGCGCATCAACGTTCGATTCGGTTCGATTCAATTCCATGGCGTGCACCATTTAATGAATGTCCCTTGACTGCAACATGCTTCACGGGTTCCGTGTAGGCATGTCGTACCCGAAGAATCTCCAGACCGCCATGGAGGTGGAGGCCATCGTCAGGGACAATGGGGCTATCCCTGCCACCATAGCCATCCTAGACGGAGTTCCCCATGTCGGTCAGTTCTCAGCTTCTTCACGTGCTGTTGCTGGATTGCCTTCTTCTCGAATTTTGCTAGTATCCGTTTCGTCCGTCCTTCACTCTTTGAATTTGGAGACATATTTCCTTCTTCTCAAGCTAGCACCCAAAACATCATTCTAGCTTTCTTTTTTTAGCAATCATGCATCTGCAAAACCATATTCGCAGTGACAAGACAACGTGACTATCCAAATTTCTAAGTCAAATTATACTGTAAATTTTACATTCTACCCTTGACACTATTATTGTGATAATAATAGGCCTTAACAGCGAACAATTGAAGAGACTGGCTATAAGTGGAAGGCAATTTCAGAAGACGGCTAGAAGGGATATTGCCCATGTTGTGAGTGCCCTGCACACTAGAAACTATCCATTCTCAGGTTCCATGCTATCTGCTGTTCTTCTGCTATTTACACAAGAAAAAGGACACTTCACATGATTTATGCCTCAACAATCTGCCTCCTTGCTGACATAGAAGCAATGGAGACCTTTTTCGGCCACTATCTCCAAATCTGGGTGACCTTATGCATACATTTGTACTCCCTTTGTGTTTAACTGTCTTTTTATAGTTAGTCATATACCTATATTTGTTTCTTCCTTTTTTTTTCTATCTATTTGACAGGTCGCATCTGGTGGCAATGGCGCAACAACAGTTTCGGCCACTATGTTCTTTGCTCACAAGGTGCTGAAAATATCTCTTCTAAAATCATTATACCTGTCTTGTTTATCTTGGCTTGATCTGATATCATTTCCATGTTAGTACCAACCACTCTAAATAAATTATGCTCTTTCCAAATTCAGGTTGGCATACCGATTTTTGTTACAGGGGGAATAGGAGGTGTGCATAGACATGGTGAACAAAGTAAGCATTTTCTTATTGCATACTTATTTTGCTGTATGTGTGACACTGGCAGGAAGTTGTTGTATCTTGGCTGCTTATGATTTATCTCTTTCAATCTCGTCTCTCGCACAGCTCTCTGTGACCCCCTAGTTAATGTATGATATTGATGATCTTCCATCAACTGCTGATTGACGGATTTAAACTCTGAAGCTGAAAGTTCATTGAATAAAATTGTTCTCTTTTTTATTTATTTTTGAAGCACAACATTCAGAATGCACAGTTAAACTAAACTAGCATTTGGGCATGGTCAAGCGACAAACAGTTGTACATTGATTGATGAAGTCACCATTTCGATGCAGCTATGGATGTCTCCTCAGACTTAACTGAACTTGGAAAGACTCCTGTAGCTATTGTATCGGCAGGTGTGAAGTCCATTTTGGACATACCGCGGACACTTGAATACCTGGTAGTATACATCTGTTTGCTGTCTTCCACGGATAACTTGGTTTAGTAGAATGAACTTTCATGTAGAATTGTAGATTGCTTTCATCTTTAGCTGTTAAGATGTAAAATATGGATAGGATGTACTTGAGGAATGTGTTCAGGTTTTGTTATTGTTATAATGTTATGTGCACATATATGGGTCAAGACGACAACACTTGTGCATATCTGTCTGCGCAAGAGTTATTGAATAGTGAAATAAAGGTGTTGCCTGAATCTCGTCACTTCTCTTTGCATACTGAGCTGGATATGAAAGTAGGAAAGTGTGGGCTGGAAATGAGTTGATGCAAAATTAGATTAATTCATATGCAACTTCTGTCACCAGTACACAAAGGCTTTTTGTTGTAAGATACTGGTATGAAAAGTTGCATATGCATATGAATTAATCTAATTTTCTCACCACTATCTTTTAATTCGAAGAAGGGCGGGCCTGGTGCAAGCGGTAGAGTCTTACCGCCTGTGACCGGAAGGTCCCCGGTTCGAGTCGCAGTCTCCTCGCATTGCACAGGCGAGGGTAAGGCTTGCCACTGACACCCTTCCCCAGACCCCGCACAGAGCGGGAGCTCTCTGCACTGGGTACGCCCTTTTATCTTTTAATTCGAAAAAAGAAGCACCTTTGCTTTGGAACTCACTTTTCCTTGGTTAGCACTTAACTCAATTGAAAGGGAACCAAAACGTAAACTTATTGGTGTTTGTTATTTTAAAGGGACCCATTTGTTCATGTCTATCCTGAATGACCTGAGATCATCTTTTCAGTAGAAGCTCACACAAAAGCTCTTGTGTTGCTTGACAATCGAGTCAATATGTGGTGCTTAATATGAGAGTAATATTGTAGAGTTTCGTTTGTGTTTCAGCAAGATACCGTGCAAGGTACAATGCTTTGCTCATGTTCAGTCGTGTGATCTTATTAGTCTATTGCATGACAGGAAACTCAAGGGGTAACAGTTGCTGCTTACAGAGCCAATGAATTTCCCGCGTTTTTCACAGAAATTAGTGGATGCCAGGTAATACCTTTTCTTCTGTAAGATAAGATATTTGTCTTGTTGATACTTGGAATATAATTGCCATACCACTGAAAGAGCCAAATGCTTTCATCTGAACCAACGGTGGCTTAGCATGATTCAATTGCAACTTAAGATTGTTCATAATTCAATGAAGTTGTGGTTTGTACACGGAGTGTAGTGAGGTTCGAAAGAGAAGGTTTGGTAAACTGCTTTATATATCTTTCAGTTTGGACAGTTCGCTAGAGCACAGTCATTGAAAACAGCTAACTTTAAGCTTTCAAGTTCAAGGCATAACCTTTTAAGTCTTTTGAGTTTCACCATCCTTGAATCGCCCTTCCTATTCACATCCTCATTGTTGTTTTCCTTTTACCCAGACTCTGCTATCTGTATCCTGTCCTGTAACTTCTAAACCCTCCCTTCTATCTTAATGAAAGGGCAGTGCTCCTTCTTATTTTTACTTTAAGAAAAAACTTTTTACTCTTTGTAATATTTGTTTTTTTCTCCTCCAACTGCATTTGTATTTATAAATGCTTCATGTGTCACATAGTCTATCAGCTAAGTGCTAAGGCAACTTGGCAAGTATGGAAATTTTTATATATGATTTTAGCTTAACAGGATTTTGCGCCACTTCTGTGCCTATGTTAGTCTAAAGGACATTTTCCTCATCTCAGTGTTTGACAACTATGCAATATGGCCTCTTGCAAATAATTCAGTAGAGTACATACTGCTGGTCTTGCAGTAATTTGGCACTATCACAGAATGATTAGATATGCAGTTAGGCCCTGTTGCAAGGGGTGCTTTTCTTGATTCTTATGGACTTTGGATTTGAAACGTTCCTTGCAATATTCCTGCAATTTCTTTTTCATCCAAGCAGGCTCTAGTAAGTAACTCCTGTTCTGGATATTTATTGACATATACTTTTTAACCAAACGCAGGTGCCATGTCGTGTTGATTCTCCAGAAGAGTGCCAAAATAATATGTGAGTAGTAAATTACAACTTTTTTTGCTTTATATCCTTACTCACATTTTTCATGAGATGAACTTTTGGTAGTGACTTGATCCACCGATGAGCTTCTACTCCCTGAGTTATCTTATTTCTTGATTTTTACAGAGATATTAACTGGTATGTAGATAGAATCGTTTCGATATGTAGCACCCCATTTTAAAATCTACAGCCAGACTACCGGATTAATAAGGTAGCTCCAAATTTGTGCGCTATAAATCCAAAATCAAAAGGCATCACTTAGAATGTTTGGATTCTTCTAATGTGCAAAACTTATCACATTACAAAGTCCAATTGGCAATCCACACATTGAGTTGTTCAAACTTTTGATGTTGTGCAGTATCTCCTTGTGCTTGCTAGCTTCTGCGCTGATTAGAATCTTGGTTGTCAGTGGTTCTAGAGTTCTTTGTTTGTAAGATTTCTGATTTCATGCAGATGCAAACAAGAACCTGCATCTTGGTTCTGGGATTCTTATTGCAGCGCCTATCCCCAAGCAGCATGCAGCTTCTGGGAAAATTATAGAGTCTGCAATACAGACAGCTCTAAAGGAGGCAGAGTACAGTCTACATCTGCACTTCTGGTAATGATATAAAAATGATAGCTGATGAACTTTGCCATCTTTTTTCTCAGGGATAAAAGGATAATAGGAAATGCGATCGCTCCCTTCATGCTTGAAAGAGTAAAACAACTAACTGGAGGATCTTCCTTGGAAGCTAGTATCCTATGACATTATCTGTATAATAGTTCCATTCGATGGCATATTATTAGGATGGTTGCATAACGTGCACCAAGAATTTTAAGCCTAGTTGCTGTATTCCACAGATATCCAATGCATTTCCAAATTTTTATTACGCAATACCATATTGGATTTTGTGGGAAACAAAGGTTTACTGGGTATAATTACCATACAAAACCCATATTGGTTGTGTGCCCTTTTAGTTCCATTTATGCAAAGACAGTTCTCCTTAGTGATGTTCAGATATTGCACTTGTTAAGAATAATGCTCTTATTGGTGCGAACATTGCTGTTGCCCTGTCTAATCTTCAGCAAAGAGAAATGAACAGTAAGCTGCAATCACTTTTAGCACTAAATTTACATTTTTCCATATGTAGTGCTTATGATATCACACGCATATCGTGCTTCTTAATTTACTAGTGTTTTTGTAACGTCTCTTTATTTGTCTTGTTTATAAAAAGAAAATAAAATTTAAAAAGAGAGATGATTTGTAACGTGTATTAGATGTGGTGTTAAGCTAATCTTTTGGCTCCAATAACGCAAATCAATCTTGGTTCGTGTGGTTATGGCTTGATGAAATGTGAGTGTTTGAATAACAGGAATGGGAAGATCCGCGTTGTAGAGCCACACTCGCGGATGGAGTATTACAGGAAGCAATGGCAAGCCATTTCCGAGGATGGAAGCTATCTGCAGGTTGGAAACTGGATGTGATTGCGACGTGTCTGAGTCTGACAAGATTAGGATGCCTGTCACTTTGGCACTGTAATAAGCTGTACACTATCCATCTACAGTACTATACTACTTAGGGTCTGGTCGGTTGGCCTGGACTGGACCCCCGAACCATTCAAGCTTATCAAAATTGTACAAATTAGTGAACTATTCTAACCGGAAATCGTTCAAGGGACTTAATCCGAAGGAACCGAACGAGCCCTTAAGTATAGTCGGCCAACGGGACGGGCCGGGCTAGCTTGGCCCCAGGAGGTTGGGCCGGCACGGCACGCTGTGCCTCCCGGGCCGTTCCCCTTCGGGTCTCGTGCCTGCCCTTCAGCCCAAACACGGCCCTACGGGCCGAAATCCGTGCCGTGCCAGCCCACTAAGCACGGCTAAACCCGTGGGCCGTGTCAGCCCATAGCCCACAGCCCGGTGCCCTTAAAACACCTTAAACTGCTTCTCTCATCCAACATTTCTCTATTTTCACAATCACATTTTACAATTCATTTATATTTCAGTATTTCACATTCACAAGTAATAAACTGATCACAGATTCTAAATGCTAACAAAAGCCAGGGATGAAAACGGTCGGGAACGGTTGAGAAAATGTCTTAACCATTTCCACTCCTGTATTTTCTTTGCCGGGAACGGAAACGGGAACGGGAAGGTCAGACGGGAAAACGAAACCGATATTACGGGATATCGGGAACGGAATATTTCGAGCGCACAAAATGGGAACATCAATATATGTAACCACTTAAAACAATGAGATCGATGCAACAATAGCAACCATATGCAACAGCAAGCTAACAGGCAAAAAAAAATAGTTCACAATTCACAGTAAGCCAACAGCCAACAGTTCAAATTAAAAAAAATAGTGCATGTGAACAGGCAACAGCAAGAGAATGCAAGCCCACAACCAGTCAACCACAAGTCTCCAGCCAGCAGCCACAAGCCCACAACAGTAACACAAGTAGTTTTCAATAGTGATGACATTTGCTGTATCATATCCTTGCAGACCTTGCTGTCCAACATTTCCACCGGTCTACCGCCTACATCAGCTGCACCAGCACCGCTGCCACTACCACTGCCGCCTCCACTTGGCAAAGAAACCCCATTATCAGTTGCTGTTGCTGGACTAGATGCAGGAGTTGCACTGACAGACACAAACCACTTGTTGACCTTGACATCTTAGATCCTGCCAAGACAAACACATGAATTAGTGTAATAACAAGGACATATTAAATCTGTTCTATAATTGACTCAGCCACATTATATATCACAGTTCAGTTAGATACACCTACCCTTTCTATTTTATACAGGAATGGGCAACGCCCATTGTATCTCAATTTTGAAGTCAAAACTCTGTGCTACTAACAAGGGAAATGCAAACAAGCAGAGCCAGACAAGCTAAAAGAAAATAATGTTGAAATCACCGGTTCAGCAGTAGCCACAAGCAAATGCATCCCAAGCAGAAGCAGGGGAACCTGACAGCGAGGCCAAAACCCGGAGCAGACTAACCTAATAGGCTAATACAACTCACTACACCAAGATATAAGAATCACATATCCTCAGAACAATGCAAGGAATAATCCTACTCCTACACACGCATTACGCATCGCAAACGCATAATGGAACAGGATAATTTAGCAATACAAATAATAAGTAGACACTTTCATGAATAATACTGGATAATTTAGCAATACAAATAATAAGTAGACACTTTCATTAATAGACCGCCATTCATATTTTATGCTAGTTTCGCCCCTGCTTAGAGACTTGTCCTGTTGTTATCTCGATTCCAAACTGGATTTGTCTGCATCTCAAGGCTCATCAAGATCCCACAAGCTAATGTTTTCTCGGTCCATAAAATATCTAGATCATCTTGGTCCCTAAATTGTACTGCTAGCATCTTGGTCTTTAAACTGTTTGGGTCTCATTCTGGTTCAACATGACGACCGGAGCTCAATTTTAATTTTTACATCTAAGCCCTTAGATGAAATAGTGGTTCCCACTTCTCCCCTATTTCTTCCGCACCTCTTGTTTCCTCATTGACAGACACGAAACCCCATGGTTTTAGATGGCAAGGGCGATAGGTGGTGTAAGGCCTCTAGAGTGCGCACCTCTTTTTTGCCTCGTCGAGAGAGACAAAACCATGGTACTAGAGGGCAGAGGCGATCAATGGCGTAAGGAGGTTCTTGGAGCATAGAGAAGCAGAGCATAGGACAAAGCTAACCATGTTGTAGCAGTCAGCAGCCGATGGTCAGAAGGATGCCGCCTAGACTGCAAGGGAAATGATGCATATAATTCTTCCTAATTACCAAATTTGAGTTTGTGATAGATATTAGTGGTAGGTATACACGTGAATGATGTCTTTTAGATTGTTTGTTCAACTAGATTTTCTTATAATTTAATACTCCCTTTGTTTTAAATTATAAGTTATTTTGATTTTTTGAAAAGTCAAAGCATCTCAAGTCTGACCAAAATATAGAAACAATTACAAAGATTTATGATATCATATAGATACACTACGAAAATATAATTAATGAACTTATTTGGTATCATAAATATTATTATTTTGTTATATAAATTGGTCAAACTTAAGATATTTTAATTCTCCAAAAAAGTTGGAATGACTTATAATTTTGAACGGATGGAGTATAAAAATTGAACTTTTGATTCTTATATTGTAGGATGGGAGAGTATATAAGACCAGCACCTTATCCATCCTTGTTCTACATATAAAGGATTTTATTTTCAGAATATAGTCACAGACAAAATTGTAAATATGGAAAGCATAACGGACATAGTTGCACAAACGTAAAGGTTCCTTATTCTAATTCATTCTGTGGTTGTACGCAGTAGTTAAGCGAAGTTCAAAGTCTCCCACGGGGTGGCGGCGCTGCAGAGCCGATGGGGCAGGTCAACGTGATCTCTAGCTCTGACGCGAAACGATCCATGGCCGGGCGTGGCAGCACGATCGGCACGGCCACGGCTTCCTCCCCGTCTCCGCCACCACTAACGGCGACAAGGAAGCTGGACCCAAACACGGTGGTCACGACGCCGCCGTACACCGGCTCGCCCCACCCGAAGTCGACGCGGTGGAACCCCGCGTGCCGGTTATCCGACACAAGGAACAGGTTGCCCAGCGCCACGCACGGCCGGCCGCGCAGCACCAGCAAGTCCACCGTGGACCGCACGTACTCGGCGGTCACCGCCGCCTTCGTCTCCCGCACGAGCTCCACGGTGTCGCCCAGAGAACCGGCCAGCAGCGCCCCGGCGGTGGTCAGCGCGGCCACGGGCACGCACGCGTTGCCGTAGTAGCCGGCGGGGAGCGCCAGCTCGGGCACGCCCCGGAAGCCGACGATGGACACCACCCGCACCTCCTCGTCCGCCGGGACCAACAGCGCCGCCGTGCGCGCGCGCCACAGCGCCGCCGTCAGCGTCTCGAAGGTCGTGGCCATGTCGCGGAGGCTCGGCGGCAGGGCCCGTTTGATCGCGGTGACGTCGGCTGGACCGAACGTGAAGGTCCGCGTGATCATGTCGCCCGCCGGCAGGGTTTTCAATTTCGGTATTGCAAAAATTTCGGCCACCACCGAGACTACCGAATTTCGCGAAATTTGGCCAAAATTTTGGCGAAATTTTTTTAGAGACCAGTACACGAAGTATGCTTTTTCTAAAAAAAACATTTAAATCTAAACAAATATTAGTACGATTTATGACTACACATCTATTGAATACAAAAATATGCAATATAAACAATAAAAAATTGAGTCTAAAGTTATATAACATATGTATTAGTGTATTACAAAATTTTGGATTTTTTTTCGGTCGCCACCGAAATTACCGAATTTCACGAAATTTCGCCGAAATTTTGAACCCTGCCCGCCGGCATGGCACCTGCCCACCTGGGTACCGAAACATTTGCCGGCACCGCGTCGAACTCGCGGTGAGGGAACGACGGCCTCGGCGGGCTGCGCGCTTCGAGGAGCTCGCGGGACCATGCGGGCGCGACGGTCGGCGCGGGGAGGCCGCGCGCGAGCTCGGCCGTGGCGGACATGAACTGCGCGATGCCAATGGCGTCGCAGATCGTGTGGTTGAGCCGGAGCGCGATGACGAAGCCGCCGCAGAGCAGCCGGGTCACCTAGTGAGAGTGAGATCATGCAAGCGAGCGTTATTTTATTTTTTTCTTGGAATTTGAAGCAAACTTGCATGGGTAGTGCCTACCTGGATGAGCAGCAAGGGGCAGTTGAGCACGCCACCGGATCCGTCGACCTCGAACAGCAGCTGGTCCATGCACGGGAACGGCGGCCTGAGCCCGCCGGATGAGGCCGCCTCCAGCTCCACCAGCCGCACGTCGGCGTCGGCCTCCACGAACGTCACCCCCTCGCCGGTGCAGTCGACGACCAGCTTCCGCCCCTCCACCTCCCGCAGCCGCCCGGCGAGCGGGTAGTACGGGACCAGCGCCTCGCCGAGCGCGCGGCGGATGGCGGCCGCCGGGTCGCGGTCGCCGGCCTCGGCGGCGCGCACCACCTCTCCGCGCCCGCCGCGGTAGACGAAGACTAACGGCACGTGCCCGCGTAGCGTCTCCTGGTCATCGATGTCCCACAGGCGCTT